ATAAATTGACCAGACGTCCCTTTCTGAACAGCACAGTCCCTTTTTATAAATACGAGCCCCGGTGTCCCCGAAATGAACTCTGGGACACAAAAGTGTCCCATTTTCGGTAACCGTGCGGAAATAGACGAGACGGTTGTTGGTAATTAAGATGAGTAAAAAAAAAACGTGCCATTGTTAGTTAAAATATTCTTAAAAAAACAAATTTGTTCCTCCAATAAATATAACTAAACATATTATTTTTATCAGAGAAATAGAAATAGGACTAAACAAAATGTTTTACTACTTTTACCGGGTATATTTCTTAATTCGTAACTTTTAAGATAACTTTTTTTGAATAAATAGTATTAAAAAAGATTTTTTTATCATAGACTATCTGCTAATTGACCTAAATAAACCGATGTCCCGTTTGGAGTCGAAGAATAAATGGTCATGTTATGTATGAAAGACTACAAAATATTCTGCAAACAAACTCACACATATATGATTATACTTGGGTAATAACATATTTCAGGCAAAACTTATATTGAAGGATATAGATAACATTCGCAAATTACTTGTTTCATTTGATATTATAAACTTAGTACATTTTCTTAAAACAATACTTCATAACCATATCTAATAGCTAATGTACATATATTTATATCGTAGTAATATTACGTTATATTATAAACATTCACATTGTAATGAAAACATGTCGATAAACTACTGATATTTCTATAAAAATAGAGCAAGTCATTGATAATTTTAATTTCGTTGGGTTATCAAGAGTTGTAATTACCAAAATACTTATATAATAAGCATTGATCTTAAACTATATTTTCCAGTATGCAATCACAGCCGAGAAGAAATTACTGTAGTAAAATGAATATTTACTATTATTTGAAAATACGCGTTTTTTAAAATTCTGTTATATATTTCGAAACCTTCTCACTATCTCTCTTCCACTCCCTTAACCTCTACCTCCCAATCATAGCCATAAATTTTGTAAATTGTCTATGAAATTTATAGCGCTGATCTTACAAGAGTCTTGTAGTAGACACTTTTAATATTAAATAGTATAGTCAGTTTATACTAAAATTTATAGAGTATCACTGTTTGTACAATTTTATATATCATTAAGAATAAATAAATTAATGAAAAATGTGAATTTCTGTATAGTTAATTAAACTTTCTCAGCAATTTAACTTTCATATAAATAAAGTTTGCATGTCTTAACTATTGTTACGTACTAGTCGGTTTAGACAGGCAAAAATTAGAAGACCTGTCTACCTGTATTTTAAGTCAACAAGAACAATGCAAATGGAATCCCACGGATTAGATCATGGTATCCAAGTTACAAGCTGAGTAATCGTGAGAATATACCTACATGTTGACAATAATCCGCAAGGCCTCCTAGGACGCATATTACAAACTACAACAATTGTTTCATTGAAAGTTGAAAAAATATACGTATAATATAAAATCAGGATCTTACCACGTAAAAGTTGATCATGGTGGTTGAAACACTACCGAAATATAGGGAACTCAGCAAATAAATATAAAACGTGGTAAGATCCCGTGATTTTTACTAATTATACGTATAAATAATGACCGCGTCAAGTTTAAAAAATATGTTTATATAATTTGAGGATTAGAAAAAGTTATTTAGTTTTATGAATTGCAATAATATCGTTTCCTTGGTAAACCACATAAATATTAAAGCCTTTTTATTTTGATGGATTCTATTTGAACTACAGAATGGCAATACGATAACAGCTTGCGCACATACAAAATAAGTTTATACATAGTCATAGTATAATAGCAGCGACGTATCGATGTAAATACCTAATAGAAACTCTGATTGGTAGTGTACTCATGAGCAAAAACTAGATCAAAAATATCGATCGCAATACTCTACAGTTGTAAAGTATATAGAATAGTAATTTAGGGCTACTTCCATGCGATTATATCCAGAAACTATCTTTAATGTTAAAATGAGTTGAAAATCTCGATTCACAAAATTCACAAGAGTCCTACCAGCGTATACAAATATTAGTCATACAGTGTTTTTTTAATGATGCTTTCTTCTGCTCTAAAAAAAAACACTGTATGACTTATTCGGTTGAACTTTTGTACTATGTAAGAAATGTCGATGAATACTGTAAATGGAGACCGGCCATGAATTGTCTGCAAACCTTGAACGGTCTCGCTCGGTCGACTCCTGTCCGAATGATTGACGGCTGCATTCAAAATCACAATGCGCAATTTTTGGAGCTCACATTTAAAAACATACTAAAATGAAGTTCAATATAAAATGGTTTCTACCGACCGTCTTCAGAAACCCACTACAAATTGATCTATATGACAATTTCTTTGAGACATCTTATGGATATTGGCTTAAGGTTTCAATGTGACAGTTTCCAATCGTACGTCTATAGTTGTGGCCTATTTGAGTCAAAAACTACAGCATTTAACAAATGTACTCGTATATTCAGAAGGCCTAACTTATACCATAGCAAATGACTTAACCACAACATTGGAAAAAAGAGTTTTGCAACCTTTAATGTAAACTTTACGTTTTCCACAACGGCGTCCTGGACTCCATTGCAGTTAATTTTTTGTATGCATTTTTTTCTGACTAAGGTCACACACTAAGGTCTAACACTTTACTGTAAAAAGAGATTTTTTGAAAATTCTATTTTGATTTTATAGTTTCATTCATTTTATTCTTTTTCAGACAGTATATTAATAAAATATCCATTCATACTAATATTATAAATACGAAAATGTGGTTGTCTGGCTATCGTTTCAAGTCTAAACGTATATTAATGAAATTTGAAGTGGATATAAATGTATTGGAGATCAAAATTTACATCGCGAGTAACAGTAGCCAAGCAAATGCTATATTAAAACTATGCGAAGTATTATTTAACAAATACAAATGTGTAATACATTCTTGGAGCAACGAGTTTGCGGTAAGTGAAGCGGGTTCGCCTACAGTTAGAGGCCGCGTGCTGCAATCTGAGAGCTCCTAACCACTTGAGTATCGAGATCAAATAATTTGTTTGTTTCACAGACTTACTGATAGATCAACGGACAGTTTGCATCAATGGTCATCCATTAAGAATTTATTGTTATAGAAAATATATGTGTGTACTCCTGGTTTCTTAAGCGAATTTTGATGTTATTTGTGTTATTCCTAGTGCATCGGTGAAGGTTCCTGTTAATATGAATCTTTCTATGTTAACGGATTTCTCAACCATCATGAATTTAGACATATTGATAATTTTAGAAATGGATACGGACATATTATTTTTCAATAAGATCAATTAATGTATATCATGTAGTGCGCTCGAACTCGCGGACAACAGCTGGTATACTTATAAACTGCAAAGCAATTTAAATTATAGCATAGCTTTTGTGGTTTGTAATGAATATTTCAATTATAAAAAATACATTATTTAAAAAACCAACATTCACATCACATCACATGAAAAAAAATGTTATTTTGTGAGAAAACAAATAAATATAAATTATGTTTTCTGTCCTCTATAATCATTTATTTTTTCCGACATTATTTTATATGTTACTAAAAGACTGCTGTAGCGAACTCCTTGATACGTTTTTATACTATTTTTAAATTGTATAATAATATTCTTTGACATATTCTTTATTGTTCATTTTCTATTATATATCGCTGTCATATTAGTCGCATTTTATTTTATCTCCGTATTTTCGTCATTAAAACCCTCAGCACCTCACACTCATCAGACACGTTTGATACCTCCGCTTTATTGATGTCTTACGAAATATAATCCTTATTCTTTTTTTATGGATTTTAATGGAATGGCGCACCCATCTATGCTAACAAACTGTTACGTTGCCGGGGCACCAGTGGAGGATGACAAGATGACCATGAGATCAGGTCAGTTAGTCATCATGACAAATTCCAGGGGGAACCGCGTGGAGGTCAACCTGACATGCTACATTGCTAGCAATCGGTCATCAGACCACATTACTAACATTCTCCAACCCCCGAGAAAGCATATTTGTTTCTTAATATTCGGCGCTTTGATTACTTAACCAAAATAATATAAAATTTGCATATGTATAATATTTGGGATAGGAAATGGCATAGAACTTAAGAGGTAATAATTCTTATGCCGGTGAATAAATATAATCACGGTCATACGGACGAAGTTGCAGATTCGGTTAGTATAACTATTACCTGTATGACTACTTAAAAATTCTCTATAGGTATATGTTTTCCACGTCATTAAAAATACATTAACTTTTAAACACAGTATTGTTTACATAATAGAGGAAACGTAAACAAAGACGATTATTATGATCTTTATTATTCATCTACAGATTAAAGCATTTTCTTGCGAAGTTATGAAATGGTAAACAGTTATGTCGAGGTACCTGATGGTAAGTGGTAACGATCGCCTATATATAATATATGAATAACATGGTATTATGTCACGCCCGTCATATCGCTCATTCATTGCCATGATGGAGGACTAAGGAAACATGCTTCCGTACCCGGTAATTCCACCGCCTTATTACATATATTACAAAGAAGTTCTTTGGCACTTAAAATAAATTAGGTATATATAGATAGAAACGCAGACGACTTTGTACTAAGTATATCTCGGTAAATTTAAATCATGACACCCAACTTTAGCCTACTTAGTTTTAATATGCCAGACAGGACTCGAACCAGCATCTTTCAGCTATCCTATAATATTACCATAATGTATCTACAAAATATCTAGTTGGAGAGTTAGACGTATGAAAACCGGCTCTTTAATATACTTCAAATACTTTTTAGTATTTAAATGAACTATTTTTAGTACAAATGCAATTGGATAAGAAATTGATGTGTTCATAAATCAATCGCTATGTCAGGCTATTTATTCTTTTTTTTTTTATTATAGAAAATGGTATATAAATATCTGTCTTATACTTTAAGTATAACTAAAGATTACTTTAATAAAAAAAACAAAAATAATGCTTACGCTTTCATTTTCTCAGCACAAAAATTACAAGAGTAGCCCCATTGTATCCGGCAATGTCCTATTGTAAAGGCGCGCACTCACTACTTTCTCACACAAAAAAGTATCTTAAGCTTTCTTTGTCAATATATATCACTTCTAAATGAAACAAATTTAAAAAATATATTGATGATTTTAGAGTAAAAAATATTAGAAAGTACGTGTGGTTAAATGTTAAAATTTCTTCTATAAATTGAAGAAATGTGCAATGTTATGTTTCTATAATCAAATTGGCGAACGCGCGATCAAGTCCGAAGCTCGGCGCCAACTCGCGGATCGGGCGTCGGTCGCACGGCATACAGCCATAACTACAGCCACGGGGTCTATTATGCCATGGTTGCCAGACATGCTAACCCTCCTATTCATAAGCAAAGCCATAGGTTGTTTTCATGGGTCTCGTTTCCTTTCAAATGGTTATTAATATTCAATAACATCCTCGGAAAATACTTTTATTATTCGGATATTATATTATACAGATTTATTGGTCAATAATAGTCTAGACCCCAGATGAGTTAAATTATCTCCTATAATTCGTAATAAACAATATAATAATTAGAAACAAATATTTGTCATTAATATTAGACATAATCAGAATTTAAACCGACTTAATAAAAGTATTCCAAGTTATGTTTATAAATACAATTTAATTTCCATTTTATTAAAAATATAATTATAATAATAAAGCCTTTTATTCTGAAATTTACAACTATTTTTAACTATAATACACAAATTGTTTTTATTTTATTATATTATAAATAGTGGCTTTATTTTCTGGAAGTAACAAAATCTTAAGTTATATTGTAAATTCCATGTAGACAGATATCCCGTGTGGGTTGATATTTCTCTTTGAAACTAAAAATTATCTGATGTACTTTTAGTGTAGGAGTGAAGAAATCCCCTTAAGGAAGATTAATTGTGCTGGTTTAAAATATGATTATATTGACTACGTTTAAAACACGAGTACACCCGCACAGTCAGTTCATTATCGGCAGTTTGTATTGTCTGTCAGTACAATAAAGAGTTCCGTTACGTCCGCAATTAAAGTACGAATATATTAGAGCTGCTTTCAATATATTTCAAGCTAAAATGCTCTACTGATTAGAACGCGACCTAGATATCAGGCAGTGAAAGTGCTGTCATTGGATCGTTGTCAATAGGATAATCTATTCTTAATTATGGTTTCCAATTCAACTAGTTGTCGGATCAACTTATCCATAACTACATATATGAAAATATGCATATAGGTTAATAGTAGCTATTACTATTTGTATATATACATAGATTGGCCAACTTAATTTGACAGATTTATTTCTTTTGCGTGAAGATCATTGTAGACAGTTTATATTGTTTATATAGTTTTTAAGTTCAAATGTATGATTATAACTAAACAATAACTGGTATCAGTAATAAATTGCCATAAACAAATATTCCAACGCTACGAGACCATTTGCATTTGAGGTTGTCTCTGTCTAATTGGAATATTATATATCGTACGCTGTGTTTATCTATATGAATGAACTTTACTATAACTATATAATATTCTCTTATCTGTGCTATAACCGATATAAAGGAACATGGACCCACTAACATATTAGTTTTTGTCTCATTCTCGCAAATTAGGAAAGTAATTCAAAAGAAAAGAAACATAATAATCATTGTTATTATATATCTATAAGAAGGAACCCCTGACCGTTTTCATATATAAAGCAGTATAAACATACGAGTGCATATAACTACAGGTATCACTATATTATATTTTACTTTTTATCGCCAATGTTTCATCTCATCATTCACAATCCATCCAATCCATCAGAATAATTGCCACTGTCATCAATGATAAGATCACGACAGGACTCCAATTAAAATCATGTAATTATTGCTATATTTTGTTCAAAGAAGGTAATTTCACTATCAATAGATATAAAAATATATTTTTATCTATGATTTTAAACACAATATTAGATTGTATGTACGCCCTTTAATGCAAATAAAATTTTATTTTTCATTTTTAACGGTTTATTTATGACTAGCTGATCTGCGTAACTTAGACTGCGTCCTATTTTCACAATTTTTGCAATATTTTTCATTGCAGCTCTGCTCGTATTAGTCGTTGTATAGGTACTATATATAGCTTTCCTCGATGTAAGAGCTATCCATTAAGAGACTTCAAAATCAGACCAGGAGTATTAGAAATTAGCCCAAACATAACTTTCAAACAATAAACTTGAGTACTGTTTTCAATTAAAAGAACCAGAGACATCTCTAGCAATGTAAAGCAGACCATAATATGTATATGTATAGTGGATGATAAATTATTAGAAATAAAGCTCAGACAGATGTAGGCTGGTATAACAATGAATAATTAGTTCAGTAGTTAGAAAATTATGTTATAGTTATTATGAAGTTATTGAACAATTTTAAAAGTGATACAGGTTTCTATAAAGGGTGTGTAGGATCAATACCGCGTCAGGATTGCTATAAATGCTTATAAAATGGGACAGGATAAAATGAAAAATAGTTAAAGAAAGAAAAGCTATTCACTATTTGTGGGGTAACAAAATCCCGTTAATCGGCCAGTGGTTGTCAAAGAAATCTAAGAAAAGAACGTATTATTTGACTATAGCTTCGAATTTACAATATATATGACCAACACACAGTTCTGAGTCACTGAAGTAATAATAATTTGAATTCCAATTTCTAACAATTTACCTGCGACTTTAATATTAAAATTCGTTAATACTACATATTTTTTAAAACAAACTATCAGAGTTTGTTTTAAATCTGCCTTTAGATTTAAATGTCGTTTAAAACACTTTCTCTGTAAAAGTGTATACTAATAAAAATGGAGAGTTTGTAAACGATAAAAATGTTTTTGTAGAAAACATTCATAGGTCTAACAATATTATCTGATTGCACTGGGAATGAGTGCCTAGGTGTTTCTATGTTGATTATCGCATGCCTCTTACTTGTTTTTGTGTAATTATTTATTTAAAATCACATTTATTTTAAAAAAATGTGTGTTTTCTCGCTCATTCTTCTTGTGATGAGTCTGCGTTCCGAATAGTAATAGTAGAATAAAAAATATAACTACTGAAAAATTCTTGTATTGAGTAGAATAGAAATATTTTTTATTCAAATAGGTAAAAAATATTTCTATTTCTATTTCCATTTCTACTAAATTAATTGTTTACTATTTACTGTCTACAGAGACAGAAAAAAAATTTTGATTAGAAAATTTGCACAAATGTACATGTACATGTACATGTTTAAATAAAATGCATAAAAATACTGTAGTACCACTGCTACTCGGTAAATATACCCATTAGTTGCACTGAGAGCACGTGCCTTAAGGGGTGTCTCAGATCAAAATACGATGGGGTAATATGAAGATGTGGTCCTAACGCGGAACTATAAACGAAAATATATCAGAGAAGGCATTTCAATATTACTATATCAGGAAATAACACCACAGTAGATATAGATAAATATAACATACATTTATAGTAGTTAGTACGGAGTTATGTGTTTTTACGAGATTACATAATGATATAGAAATAAAAAATAAATATATTTTCAGGAAAATTTTAAATGCATTTTAATAAAGTACCGCAACATTGTATAGTAACCTTGTTGAAACTCATTATCCGGATTATATTTAGCATTACTAAAAGTATATATTTGTATTTAATATGATTTTTAATGTTTATACACGCGATCGGACTGCGATGTTCCAATCAAAACCGGTCGACCGCGTGTATAAACTATAAAAATCACATTAAAATGACTATAGTGGAACTAAATACATTTAATAATATTATAATTAAATCTGAATAACATAGTAATTAAATTACAGCAAGTTTGTGTACTGCAAAAAACCTAATATTGATAGAAAGTTGTAACAGAATTTAAATTAAATTATATGGGTAATTGGGTTTATGTAATTTCAATACGAAATAAACCGACGCGACCTATGATAAAAGTAACCATATCCTATATACCCACATGAACTGCACTACGGACAACATGTTATCATGCAACGTTCGTATCAGTGATGCATTAGCATTACGGCATACTAGACGCCATGCCTCTTATCCTGGAATTTTACAGCCTCGACCGAAACACAGCAGACAACAACACAGCAGCAACAAAGAAAACTGCTTCGAGGCTAAAATAGACGAGACAGACAAAGTCAGGCGTTTTTTACAAAATCTACCTCGCTAAAATTCAAAACTAATCACACACTCCACAAATAATACTAGAATAACCTAGTTCTTAACTCCAAGGTATTTGAAGTGAACACCCCCGCGCCCCTATACGCCGCCACACGCCGCTATGCACTTCCTTCACAAACTATACCCACACGCTATGGATCAATATTAGACAAGGACAGACCTTCGAAAACATAATTTTATTGCTTGCTTTGAACAGAACTTTAAAATCAATGTTTCCATATTTATACACTGCGAGCTATTTATACTAGATGCATTGTGCAGGATATATTTTTATTATGTTTATAAAATTTCTGCATTGTTTTAAATATCTTCTTTGAAAGTTGTTATAGAGATGTCTAAAAGTCATGACAAAAGATATGAAAGGTTGATCTAGTAAATTTATCTATTTATATGTTATTATAAATAAAAATGCTATTTGCATCTATATTTTTGTAATTATTAACACAGACGACTGACTGATTGACTTGCTTCTCTATAAAGTTAGAGATTTCCTATTGTCATTAAAATAGTTAAAACAAATGTTTTTGTTTAATAGATTTCCCTTATTTAAAAAGTAATTAAAATATATGATCACACTTATGTATACATGTATATTTTAATGATTTATTACGTAGCTATGTTGTATTAAATATTCATGCCCAATGAAATATAATTTGATGCGCAATTTCACACAGTTGAATGGTGTATTCAATCTCATGACCTAAATAAATGGTAAATGAAGTCTATGCATAGTTACATCAAAGCTCAGTTTCATATAGCAATCTATATTTTAGAACAAATATAATATCACTGTCAATTAGTTTATTCTCTACTATTTACTAAAAGGATCTCTACTAATTTTTACGTCAAGTTGGCGCAATGGTGAGAGTTATTCATAAGAAACCTAGTTGAATATCTTCTCCCTTATCTGGAAGAAGCAACAAATTAAGTGGTAAGTTTGTTTATGTTTTCACTTCGCTTGATTTGTGGAAGCACTCCCGCATAATGAACCAATGTCACGCACTGCATCAAAAATAAGTATAATTTATAATACTTATTTTTATTATATATCGAAAAAACGTCAAGAATACAGAATGACTGATTGTCATGAACCACAAATTCGGTAATGTTAAGTTCAAATATTACATTACAAAAAATAAATATAACTAAATTCCTACTACATCTGTATATGGAATGGCAGGTGAAATTGCCATTACAATTTATGCTTCGAAATGTGTATGTAAATCGTGTACAATATTTCCAACAAGTTGACTTATACATCTAGATTTATAACTACCCGTAATATTTTCTACAGATAATATTTTATTTAATATAAAAATGCGTCGTTGTCTAATGAATCAGTAACCCGACTGACATCCAAGAAGTAGTTGGTTCAAATAAAGCTGACAAAAAAAACATTATAATAGACTTTTATCCTAATATAAAAAAAACTTTGTCGACAATTTCTATTTTTGAATAACTGACTCTCCAGTGAAGAAAACATCAATCAAAATCAAATTATAATACAATCCAAATACAAATCCAAAATTAATCCGATGCATAGCGATTAACCTCATGTCCTGCCATGTTAGATTCGTTACCCAGCAAAATGTAGGCATAACAATTGTTGCATTCAGCACGTCGATGCTTCTGACTACTCCATCCATAGTAACAGACGTGAGGGTATGTTTAAATGAACACACTGTCCTTTTTGTGAAAGGATTATTTCAATTTTAAATAAAGTTACCACAATCATTATTATAAAAAATGGTATCACACCAGATGTTACTAAAGCGGTGACAAAACGTTATTATAGTCAAGCACACGTACAAACACAAGGCTTATGTGGCTTACCTACTGTGTATCCAGAGAAAATAAAAACATGTGTGATATATGAATCACTGCATCCTTCATTTTATTACTTCCTGTACTGTCTAATAGGATGTACTATAGTTACATTTATATTAGGAATGTAAATTGGATTTGCAAGTTCAAAGGTGCCGACATGTTTACTTTTAATATATACAAATATATTTTAATGTACCCAGTGACCTAGCGGCTCATGTCTGAACGTCTACAGGGTTCGACTTCTTATACGATACGAAACATTTGTAATCATAGGTATGAGTATGATTATATGCAGTAATCTGCATGTTTTACATTAATGTTATGTATGTATTTACTAAACCGCTAGACCACCAAAGCCGCCTCTATTGTAACAAGTAATATCTGTAAAAGTAATTTAAACCATTCGCTTCCAACTATATTTTGCAACAGACTTCCATTTTAATAAGTTTACAAAAAGAAGAGACCGATGAAATTATAAATTTAAATGTTACGAATTTATGGATACACTAAATAAAAAAATGAAATAACAAAACAACCTGTTATATGGCATAAAAACACCGACTCAACGGGCATTGAACTTGGCCGGCAAGTCTGCTGTTGCATCAACTATAATAGGTGGGCATCAACTAGCTCAATTTGGAGCAACGTACGCAAATATACAAGATGCTGTTTTAGAAGCTTCGAAAATAAACTCGAGAACCCTGAACTGAGTGACATTCAAATTAGATCAATTTAAATAGATAGCTAAATAAATTTAAAGGTGACACACGTTTAATAAATTCGGAATATATACCTATATGTATATAAGACTTAGGTACTTACGTTTTTTATAAATTTAGCTTTCGCTATAAGTAGCGAATTTGTTGTTTCATTTGTTGTTATGGAATAAGTTCCATAACAAATACACATTTCATAAAGTAGGGGTCTATTAGTTTACAGAGAGAAGATTAGATTTTTAGAAATACAAATTTACACCCAAAGACTTTTTGTTTGACCTTTTTCTTCTTCTTGTTAGTAATCTGGCAGTTCTGGCTGATACTACGATTGAGCCTATTTCGGTCTCAACCGTATATAATATTTCAACCACAGATAACAATAAAAACTAATCCGAGACACGACGACATACATAGGGTTGCGGGTCATAACTAGAAGAGAAAAAAGGTTCAAGATCGTGCCGTGACTTGGGAGAAGCTTAAGTCCAGCAGCGGATTTTAGTAGGCTGGTGATGATGATGGTGTTTTTGTTTGATACCATAACGGTCAAAAATCAGTAATAATTTTGACATATTGAAAATTTTTAAAAGGTATGAATCTCTGTGTTTAATTCATTATAAAATAAAAACAATTGATTATAATTTCAAGTAGGTTTATTTGCTTGTTAACTTTAAACATCCAAGAAGACGGTCTTAGAACTATCCACATTCTCACCCTAAACAAATAAATAGTTCACAAATATATATAGTTCAAAAAACATTACTCTAATATCACTATTATTTTACAAAACTAAAACTTATTAAAACATTTAAATTACTGTTAAAGTAGTTATTTAACAAATATTTGGTATTATTGAGTGTATAAATAGTAATTATTATGTAGTATGTTTAGGAGAAATAACTTAATATACTTAGGTATGCTAATGCTTTCCTAACCATTATTATTATATGGTTACGTTTTAATTCAGTAATTACAATATTTTTAGGGTTCCATGGCTAAATTGTAATAACAGTAATCTCATAGTCGTCATAACTCGATTTTGTAACATGTGAGAATTAGCGTTCCTAACTTAATCAATAATAATTCTCACTTGAAAAAATCTAAAAAAAAAATAATAAATTGGAATGCAAACAAGCTGATGTCCGCCTGATAGTAAGAGGTATCCGTCAATGAACAGCTCTACGGACATCAGTCATCACGTAACACCTGTAATACCATTCATGCAATGCCTTTCATATCATGTAATTTCACTCCCTTATCTCACCATTTAAACAAATAGTATACAGAGCAAACTGCTTGGTGGCTGAAGTAAGTAGACAGAGTCCATGCACGACTTTTTACGATGTAATTTAATATAGTTATTGAATTTGTTTACGTTTTGTCGCTCATTTTTATTCATCCACGTGGGTACCTCTGTGTCAACTCGGTAACTCTTTTTGTTTGGGTAGGTTTATGAAATATACAAAACAACAGTGTATCGAAGAATAGTTAACTCTAGAATGACAACGCATGTATGGGACCGAAGGCGTCAAATGGTGACGCAATATCCGTGGTGTCATACATATATGTACAGGCAATGATAATAACTAGGTACTTGTTTGCTATACTAATTACATTAAAATACATAATTAATATATCCAATATTAATAAAAAAAAGTTTTATCGACTCTACAATAACCGAGTATCGTAACGTCTAAGCCACGGATCCCTATAACATATCCATCATATATTTTGTCATTATATTTTCTTAATAGAAAAAGTGAAAAGTTTACTTTAAGAGATAATATTATTTGGATTACAAATTTGTAGAATATAAAGCAAAAATTATATAGGTGCTTACAAAATTCTGGCGAAATAACTATTGTTCACCATAACAAAAGTACTTATCATACTTATCCATAACGCATAATATAAAGTGTTTTAATATCAAAAGTGTATTACGAATTAAAAATATTACATAAATTTGGAGATATACATATTATTATACTATTAAAAGTAGGTAATAATTATGATTAACAATCCCATAGCGAATCACAGCGTGAAGTTAATAATCATAAAACACACTACCTACATATTGTGTTCGTGTCCGAAGTGCATTTATGAGAAACATGAATATTAATGAAAAAAAAATGTTTTATCAGGACCCAATCACAAACTCCTAGCTATAGCTCTCTGTTGTCTATCGATTATTTGATTATGTAGTTACATACTCAAATATAAAAAATAATCGTGTTACTACACTATATATTTATCTAACAAGGAGGTACTAGATAAATCGTCAATTAAAATTCTTTAAAATTTTAATTATAAACGGAGTCGTCTAAAAGTTGAGCATTTAAACCAGCATACCAATTTGCACGGATAATTATAATAAATAACGGTAATAAATAGCTGAGCACAAATAAAATACACAAGTATTTAATTCTAATCAACTCATAGACATTGTATGAGTGTAATCTTTATGAGTAACAGCGAAATAACTAAAATTTAACTACTTTTATTTAACTACAAACTTTCATACTAAAAATAAGTTAATACTTAAATAAAAGTTATTTTAAATAAGTGATGACAAGAGTGGAGTTTACAAAAGTCGTAAAGTAAATCCTGTAACAAGTTACTTGTGAAAACAGTAAAACAAATTCGACGTTTCTCATAACTGCATTGCTTAACATTGTGTAAATTGAGTATTTAATGTTAACTTATACTTATATATAATAGAGTAAATGTATATAACAATGAAATTTTACGATTTGAATAAAAATGTATAAAGGACTATTACTAATTATAATATAGGTATTTATACAATAATATAGAACATATCAAAACATTTCGTTTTCTGAAACCTAATTCAGAAGCTGAGGTAAACAAGCAAAATAGATATATATAGCAAAGTTATATTATATAATCTTTTATAACTAATAACTATGTACAGAACAATAAGCGTTTCTGCAAAATGAATCTTTACTTGAAAATATCAATTATAAATATTAACTCTTTTTATAATTCATATAAATCAGATGTACAGAACTCCAAGTGCATAATTTGAGCAATATGTAAAGTATTTTGAATATTTGAATCAAAGCCAATTGATAAGTCTACGGAATATAATATCTCTGGAAAATAGAAAATTAAAAGGATAATGACAGAGAATTTATTATGGTATCGTTAATAATAATTATATTGGCCCACTTGATAAAATGTGATATATGTGACTTAGAGTGTAGCAGTAGCAGTACCATGAATATTGCAATTACATCATAATGGTACTCCTAAAGCTAAAAGTTCTCACTTGGTATTATTATTTTCGAAATAATAGTAAAACAAACACATAATATCTAAGCGGAAATGGAAAGATTTAGGATCGTAATATATAAAGTGTGATGATCGATAATAAATAGTGTAAATCTAAAAAGCATTTCATCTCGCAGTAGTTGACTTTCAAAATACATGCAATTAATAAAGACTATGTACTGGACGAAATAGCTAAGTCTATCAATTATCATTTCAAAATATATGTAGATTTTGGTGTTTCAATTGAATAACTACCATTCTATAAAAGAATATTCACATTCATACGAATCTATTCCATAATAAGCTCCAAAAATCTACTCGTATAAAACTTTGGTGTTATTTTTGTCTAACTACTGGGTCCTCGGTAAGTATTACTACATTTCAAAATTTTTATCCAAAATATTGTAATACTACATTTTTATCGTAAAAATATTGCTACAAAATTTCTAAACTCTGTTCAAACTATGTTAAGTTCATACTTAGTAAAATTATTTTAATATTTTATTGTAATCATTATATCAAAGCTTGATGCTCAAAAATTTTTCAAAAATATTATTAGGTCGATTATTGTTCCCGTTATAAATAATGGCGTCATATCAAAATAAAAATGAATGGCGACAAATTTATTCAATGTTCTATGTGATATATTTGCTGTAACATAAATGTGTAACCTAATGGAAGACATTTATTTTCAAAACGAGTGCGTGAATGTATGATGTGGTTTAACATAAATTGGAATGTTTCTACCGAATCTGCTTCTATAAATATATTCTTAACTAACTGTACTTAAATAGAATGATAATATGAACACAATAACTTCATTTACATGTATTGTAACAATAACACTACAATTTCAGAAAAAATAACATATAAGTATTAAGCGCTAAATCAATAAAATCTAACCCGTTCAATTAAAAAATACTGTAGTTTAAATAGTATAACATAACACTAGTTATCGTTATGATTGTTAAAGCATTCAATAAAGCTACAAATAAATAACACATTAAAATATTTTAATACAATAACTTAACATTAAAGCAGTCAACTTCAAAACTAATATAGGGTGGCTAAAAGTGAATGCCGATCAAAGGAATAAGTTTAATAACCCAAGCGCTTGAGTATAAAGATAATAATGTAGACAAACTGGTTATTATAGATTATCATGGTCTACGTACCTACATTCCTTACCGGCAAACAACAACTATATTTCTAGAATTAAATTTGACACCACTGAGTATTTTTCAGTATATTTTAACTTAGTGTCCTCAAATTTAACAGTATCGATACCCCGTTAGTTGAATCTATGGCACTAACACGTAACTACACCAGTGTTCTACTTTTTTTAATTCAAATGTACCATAGTTGGTGTTTTGTCGCATTGCACTCTAATACCTTCGGGCCCATCGCTACATGTAAGCAGGCTTCATTTTATAAGCACGTTTCCAGATCTCACATAAGCACACCGTCGAATGGAATCTGTAGAATATTGCTAAAGGCATCGAAACATGTGTTATAATGGTCCAAGCCCACAAACCATAAAAATGCAGCTGAACTGGGTGAGATTCGGCTCGAGACTTTTCTAGTGTATTTATAGCCCACATCGCTAGATTAGTAACCAAAAGAAACGTCACTATTTCTCTTCCAGGTTTCTTTCGCAATTGCTCAGGAGTTTTTGCCGATCTTCGACTTGCATCCAATATAAACATCGTCTGACATGTTGTTTGAATTAAGGATGACAGTGCAGTAATTAGAATAAGAATCGTATTCTTTTCGATAGTAAAATGTCCTCCTATAATTGTAAATGTACCGTAAATAAACATGCCAGTTTGAGCGCCCACTAAAAGTATATTATCCAATTCTAGATTTCGATTACCATCATACTTGAGATTTCGGACGCAGACCATTCCCGCAAGACTAGCAAATGTTGTCATTGCATACAACCCCAACTCACAGAGATTAACTTCCACAACCGCCAATGTTGCATATTCTTTTTTAGATACTAAAACGAAGAACAATATTAACGATATTATTGTAAGAACTAAGACTAGAATACCAAAAAATAGCCCCTTGTGTGCACGAGCACAATCAACACTATATAAGTGTGGTGACTTCTTATATGCAAGTCCCTCTAATATTCTTGCTTTTGCTATAGCAGCTGCGACATCCTTTGATGGATATTTAGATATGTTTTTCCACATGACATATAATATGGCTGCGCATATTAGAGAATACTCAATTGTGCATGGGAAAAGAAATGGAGAGGCGTCCTGTACTAGAGACCCCATGATGTTGGTTCGGCGACATTCGAAGATATGATGTGGGCCCTTCAACCCCCTCGGTACTCGTAAGTGTGCCGCAGCCGGATGCGAAGATGGAACTTCAGTTGCTAGAGACGCGAAGGCCTTTTGAAATGCTGTAAGCACAACAAACAATATTTGTTATATATATGATATATATTTCTCATCTCCTGACGATATAATGTTGATCAAATTGCCGGTCAAATTGGCTATTGCGCCATAAAGTTATGTTGATTGGAATGCAATATGTAATAATGGATTCCCCGAAATTATGTCAAATTTCAGGGAATCCTATAGCTATAACAAGGATTGCTCCAATGTAGGATACAACAGGTTAGGAATTTATCATTAGAATATGTAACGCTTATTAGAATTACGCCATATGTATTAAAAAAAAAAAAAAGTTTAGGAGACGATGTTACGCATGTATTATGATATGACTGTTTGTATTGATTAAGGATGTTTTCAATGTCCATAAGTTATCACAAAACAATCATTTCTATCACTTACTAAATTCCTATCCTTCAAGCACTGCTTAGTTCGGATCCAGGTACCTATTGTATGACTAGACCATAAGTATTTATTTCTTTTTTGACTTACTTTGATAATATAAAAAACCATTTAACGATTACATTCGACCTATAATAAGAAATTTTTAAACTAATACTTCCTTTCTCCAATTAAATTAAATAATGCGTTGAAAAATACTTCTATAAATACTTTTAGCAAAAAATTAGCGTGCTAACACAAAACTTCGACGGAATAGGGTATTAACGAAGATTTGCTCGCTTAGTCTAACTGTCTAACTTCTACCAAAGTTGTGAGATTACGTGATCGATTTATTAGCAAAAGGTTAAGAAATTATATTAGAATTTCGATCATGCAGTTTCATAAATATACTTTAAGTTGTTTCTTGACAAACTACTATCTACTCGTATCTATGAAATCGTAGCAGGGTAAAGAAACAAATTATACGTTCTATATATCTAAGTCCTGCCTTTAAACCATAAAAAATGGGGACAAGGCTCCTTAGAGGATTAAATAAAAAATGGCTTTATTAACATAAAGCCCTGTCTAAAATGAAAACGAACCTCGTATACTAGGATATTCTTCCACATAATTTTAATCATATTCACTATATATGTATATAAATCTGATACACTCATAAATTATTGAGTGCTCAGATATTATATTTTTACAAGGAATTGAAACTGTGATTTTATACCCTGTTCGCTTGAAAGTAGCGACAAATTGAATGAACATATTGTTTCGTCAAGAGCTAATAGAATCCATAAATCTGCCATCGTCATAGAATATCTAATTAATATTTCAAAAGACGGCAATAACCTTATGCCTATAAATTAACTCTTTCTGTAGGTATATAATATTACTACTTCCTAAAAGTATCAATATTTGCCATTTATTGTTTATTATCATGATCTGGACTGAAAATGACAAACAACATCACGAGCGAGTTAAAAGTTATATACACGTATTATTTATTTATTGTACACATTAAACGCTTATATCCTGTTGTTATCGTTTATGAACTTTATCTACCACTCCACATTTCCTCTCAGTCCATCTTTGAATGATATATATATATAAAGATATTCTTATGGGATAAGTCCGCCATTCTACTGTTTTATTTCTTATAGCCGTTGTATCATTTTACTCTTGTACAGTAAAGTGTTAAAAACAAAATAAAGTTATTTAATAAGTTAATAAAAAAATGACTTACCAAGTCTATGGGACAAGCCTATGGTCTTATTCTCTGGATCGTAGAATGTAAGGATCTCGTGCTTGGTCTCCTGTACTAGGACGTTCAGCCATACACTCAGGTTGGTGCCCACCATGTGCATCAGACCGAACCGTGCTACTATCTTGTGCTTGTATACTTTCATCTGTAACAACATGTCGAGAATTATTTATAATGTTATTATTATTATTTATAATTCAATAAACATCACACTAATTTTAATAACTTTATCCTCTTCTTCCTCTCTTTCCCTCATTCCCCTATCCAATGGTTACATTTTTTATAATTAAATAATATAAATCATATTTTAATACTATTATTGAAACGTGACGTCACCAAAATCTATGACCATCTTCTTCGGAGATTATCAAAATCTATGACAGGGGTGGGCCCTGTCATAGATTTTGATAATCTCCGCTAATATCACCATCTTCTTACACGAAGTTTGTGACTCCTGCCAGCCCTTGTTATATGATGTCTCCCTTTCCCCTTAACGTGTGATGCAATTTATAGAAGGGCCTTTACCAATATTAAGACTTTTGTAGTCTACCTCATATTTCAATAGTAACGAGTTCGATTTCCGAACACTTATAAGTATATTTTTTAACCATAACATTTTACACTGCGCCATCTAATGTATCCCAAGCTAAGCAGAGATTGTGTTATGTATACTAAAAAATTGATAGATATACTTACATATTTTTTTGACAAATGCATATTAATTATACGTATATATAATACCCAGACCAATACCTGGATACCTGGGATAGATGGCAGGCTATTATAATTATTAGGCGCTACGATGCCACGGACAGACACACGTACATATAGAGTGAAACTTATAACATTCCTCTTCGTTCTAATATATTAATAAAATTATTACCAACCTCATTATTAAGAAAGATGAAATACATCTGTATAAAGATGAAGGCCATTCTGGTCGCGGGTGTCAATGCAAGCAATACATTATGGCAATTGGTGTCTCGTTCCAGTTCCCAGTATTGTCCAAACTCCAACCCAGAGTATATCATGGAGCCGATGCCGAATGCTACAAAAGTTAAAAACAAATATTATTACTCATCATCATTATTACATAGTATAAAACAAAGTCGTCTGTCCCTATATATGCTTAAATCTTAAAAACTACGCAATGGAAAAAACCGCTACAAAGCGGTTTTTTTTAATAGATAGAGTGATTAAATTTCATTCAAGATTCAAGATTCAAGAGGAAGATTAAATATACATAATACATGTACACCCATGAGTCGGAAGTCGGAGCGAGTAGCTAGTTACACATAGTATAAAACAAAGTCGCTATCTGTCCCTATGTAGGCTTAAATCTTTAAAACTACGCAATGGATTTTGAAGCGGTTTTGTATTTAATAGATAGGGTGATGGATTCAAAAGGAAGGTTTATATCTATAATACATGAACATACGTGCGAAGCCGGGCGAGTATCTAGTTAATAAACGCGAAAGTTTGTGATTATGGATGTTTGTTACTCTTTCGCGCAAAAATTAATTATCGGATTTTAATGAAGCTTATTCATCAGAATAACATGTACATTACAAATTTCTAGCAGATGAAACCGCGGGCACAGCTAGTATTTAATATCCCAAAAAGCCAAAATTCTAGCTTCATAAAACTTTCATCCCCTATTTTATTTTAGCCCGGTAAGTGTAATTTTTCACAAACTTTAATTGTAATATATGAATATGCACTAAATATAACTTATATACAATTACAAAGACTGGGGGGTAGGGGATTCTTAGTAATGTGGATTGATGGTTCCCTTGCTAGCAATGTCAGGTACACGCGGTTACCTGGAGATCATCATGATTATTTCTTTATTTTTTATTCTGGTGAATTTGTCACGATTGGCTAACTGATCTAACCTAATAATTATCTTATCATATTCCATTGGTGCCCCGCCAGCGTCAACCATTAGTACAGGCGGCTACACCATTCCATGATTATATTATATCTATTAAAATTAAAATAAAAAAATATGGCGACTAGCTGTTACTGACGATTTCGTTTGCTTTGTTTGTGGTAAGAGATAGCCTATGTCCATCCTCATAATGCACTCTATGTCACCGTAAAATTTCATTAAAATCCACTTGAGTTGTAAATTTACTTGTAATTTTAATATTTGAATATAGGTTATTTTTGTGGAAAAGATTTCTAAGAAAAGATTTCCCGATAGTAATTGTAATCATAAATATCAATAAAAAAATTAATAAGATCAAATCAAACGTAGTGATTAGAGCAGACTAGTCCCTACACGTAGCCCTCATTCACGAGCCAGGAATCACTGCCCTCAACATTATCATGCGGCAATATTTAGTTATCATCGTTATCAGTTAAAAGTTAGCAACAATAATTTCTAGTAGGTGTTAAATAAAACTACTAGTTCACAATGATAAACCATTTATTAAATTTCATTATACTTCAAATCTTTGATTATAACTTAAAATAACATTTAAAAAATAACAACTCATGTAATGTGACCTAAAATCCTTGATACCTGTGTTTTACATATTTAACAATTAATAATTTATTTTAAAATAATTAACTTGGCATTAAAAATCTAAATCCTAGCTATTCAAGTGTTGTTCAAGTTATGTGTTGAAGTTTGAACGAATAAATAAACAATTTTTTCTGTAATAAATACAATAAAAGCCAAAACCATCCCTACTACGATTATAATATGAGGAATAAAGAAATCTTCCATTTTTAAACTTGTGAAAACACGTTCATTCTCTTTCTGTTTCAGAAAAAAAGACTTTACCGGCTCAAGGCCTAACTCACGAAATAATGCAACAAATAAACCATTTTCACTCATTCTCAAAACTTTATAATTCATCCTGTCAACACCTGGAAAACCACGGACAAAATATATGACATGGCATGTACGTTGCAAGTTATATTTTGATTCATAAATAAGGTGACGATATTTAGCTTGTACCAAATACATATATTTTAGATAAAGATTAATAGTATAAAGATTTGGGATTTTTGCTAATGACATCAAACTGGTTTCTAGGTCAGCACACTCCGGTGCTATTTCATCTACATCATTTACAATAGGAAGTTGAAATTGACTAAATAACCATTTTGAAGCATTGGACAAACAAGGTCGATAGTTCAATTTCAAGAGTACATCATAACTTTCAATACCAGGGCGTTCGCCAGGCTTTGTAGCCAAACTTATTAGGGATGTTTGATAAAAATTTGTTATTAAAAATATAAATCCAATCCATAATATTAAATATCTGTTTTTTTGAATAAGTTCTTTAAAATACTGTGATATATCACCAAACATTGAGCCCCAAACGTACAAAATTACTTTTCCATTAAAATTTAACCCATCTATTGACGAAGTTATGGCTAGACACAAACATATACATAGAAATACAGTAATTAATAATAAGAGAAAGGTCTTTTTGTCAAAGCTGTGATAAATTATTCTCCATCTCCCAATGTATTCTCTTTGTGACGCAAAAACTTTGAAGAAATTATCACTAGAGGCAAAATATGTCCAAATATAATCACATAAATACATTGAATTTACAGTTAAGAGAAAACCACCCGCAACTACGTCGGTTCCATTATTTTGTATTTCTCCTAAAAGTTCGGTTGCTGTGAAGTCATCAAGATTTACGTGTCCAAATTTATCAGGAATAAGATCATAGATGGGCAATATACGGAATTTCTCACTCTCCGCTAACAAATCCATTACTCGCTGCTCGAAACCAATAATCATTCTGCCATCTCTTTTATGCGGAATAATTGAGAATGGACCATTGTCATTAGTAAGAACACGCAGTGTACAGTTTACCAAAGTTCTTGAATTGTCGTCAGGAAAAATATTTACATCATGTCTGAGTTCATTGCATTCACAACATTCTGTTATATTTTCGTGATTACGTCCACAATTGCCTTCTCCATAAGGAAAATATGTATGAACTGTATACTTTCTTCCAAGTCTGTTTAAGAGTAAAATATTTAAAATATGAGAATTAAACAATAATTTAAAAACAGCCCTCAGTTGTTCAATATCGACTTGGTGGCTCATTGTAATTATAAACTTAGCTTTAGGGTTCCAACTCCACTCTAGTTTTAGTGAATTTATTGTATTATTTAAATCTTTAGCGCCTTGAGCTGCTATTAAATATGCTTCTCTGAATGATTTTTTTTTTACATCTACATGGATTTGTGGGATCCGAAAATTTAATAAAACATGAGTAGTATCGTGGATATCACACAAGAAATCTTCAGCATTACTTATCACAGTTAATTCCGTGCCTTTTTCTAGTTGCGTTATAATCAGTTTAATTATACACGATTTTAATTCTTTATGATTGCTACTTTCATGAAAATACATTATTGAGCTGGATTGTATATTTGTTATGTACATTACAAAAAGTATTATGTGATAGATCATAACTGTGTTCAGTGGCAAATGTTCTTTACAATCCTCAGTAATCAGGAAACTTAGAGTTTTTATATTATATGTAATTGTTGGTAAACATGTCACTAAATACATCTCAATAAATAAATGAAAGGCAGACAAATGAGAATTTGATTACCTCTTTATTCGACTTCAAGTAACTACCTTTAAGTGTTACTAGACAAATATGACGAAACATTTTTACATAGTTTAATATATCTATAGACCATAATTGGATAAAACTGCTAAAAAATATAATATATAAATTACGGAAATAAACTCTGAGTGTGAAAAGCTTTTTAAAACATTGGATATATAATAATTATTTCAGTAGGTATACTACGTTGAATTTAAATGTATCTAATTAGCGGACCTCATTCAGATAGTATTTCTTCTCATGTCATAAACCGATTAATATCAATAAAAACCATAAAACCAAGTATTCCAAAGATCCTGGTCAAGTTTATGAAGCGCTATTCAATCCATTTTGCTTGCTTTGGTCTTATTATGATTCCATTATATCCTACTTAAATTGTAATATGACAAAGTTCTTGATTTCTTATTGCCAAATTCATATTTCTTTCTCTACAAGCTTCTCTGCTCTTGAAATCATTTGGTTGACTTTGTAATTCCGACGATCCGAATACATTGGCAATACTGGCGTACGAATATTTTTTTATATAACATGATCATCCATTAGATAAATAGACAGTGGGATACTATTGTAATTTGTTTATTTGACATATATCATCATCACCATCTGCCCACTACAGTCCATCGAAAGACATACATAGTGTCTCGATTTCGTTAATTATTTTTCTGTTATGTTTGTTATTAACAGGAGAAGGTTTACATGAAAGAAAAAATAAGAAAAATGTTTTTGAGTACTTTTTTTTATTAATCATAAAGATGCGAATTCAATATTCATAGTTAAGACAGAACAACATCTGTCGAGTCAGCTAGTATTAAATAAAAAAAGCAATTCTTCAAAGCATTTAATTAATAGGATTTACAATAAATTTATATATTTTCGAACAAATATTTAAAAACAAAACACTACTCTGTACTTAACTAAATAATACTCAGTAGTATGTTAAGAAACCATTTAGTATGAAAGTATGACAATTTGCTAAAGGGTTTATTTTAGATGATATAAATATAAATTGAATGCTAAACTGTGGAAAATTCACAAAAACTGGAGAATATGAACTTTAATCTATCATAAATATTTTATTTTTTTGAAGACGAATTATTTACAAATAGAAAATAGATAAAAAATAATAGAAAATGGTTAACAAAAATGTACACAGGATTTCATTAAAACCACTTTGTGATAAACATAGTTCAATCCTATTATCCAGTAAAGAAAATTATTTCACCCCGAAACACTGACAATATATATATATCTCTTTTATTAGCCCATAGAGAATATCAGCACTGTAAACTGTCACAATATATGCCGAGTATGGGCCTTGTTGCCAACTAATAAAATAGATGTATAAATTGTATAGCATCATATTGTGTAGTGTTATATGTATATGTACGTTATTTGTCGTCAATAAATTTCTTTCTTTCTTTTCATTTCTCTATAGTCA